TTTTCCCGCCTTTTGGCGCCACACAGTTGTAGAAAACTAAACTACCCATACCACTACCCTGTATTATTGCTGTCTCTTATACACATCTAGATGTGTATAAGAGACAGGTGCTGGGACGGATGATCTCCTAAGCAAAGGTAAAAACAAAAAAGGCACGAATTTATGGGATAAAATCATGCATCTCGTCGGCAACACGATAGTAATCGCCCAAGCTGCAACACTTTCTGGGGGAAATGAACCAAAAAGGAAAAGTGGACACACAATCCGGAAATGAGCCAGGTGATAACTAGAAAGAATCTTGAGAACGAAGGGAAAAAAAAAACTTGATCTGACCGACCGGAAATGAGCCAGGTGTTAACTAGAAAGAATCTTGAGAACAAAGGGAAAAAAAAACTCCGCGACTGCATGGACGATGACGATGCTGCTCGGGACAATACTCGTCGGACTCCCCCGATTGATGAGAGACAGCAGACAGCATGTGACGATGCGCACCTCCCCCCTAATAGACACCAGCATGGGAAAAAGTTATGATCGCGCGGATGCTGATTGCCCGCGCAATCTTCTAAGACCGCGCACGAGCGCGGAGTGCGCTTCAAGACTAAGAAGTCGCGCTGTTGATTGTTGATGTCTGCGCCATCCTATCTGTCTCGTAAAGAAGCGCGCAAACGCGCGCGATCTAACTAAGCGCGCCAAGCCATCTCGGGTTTAGGAACTAAGACAAATCAGAACTAAGGCGAATGTCGCCAACAACTGCGGACAGATACATTGAAAAGAAATCCCGACAGCTATCGAGCACACTGATGTCGGCACTCTTTTCTTATCAGATCCTACTTAGTAGTCACCACACGCGGGCAGTCTATTGAGCACAGATCCGCATCAACAAACAGTGCCAAGCCATCTCAAAGAAACAAATTAGCGGAATGACCGCATCATTACGCGCTGCGAAAAAAGTCAAAATGCTTCAGGGCAAGCTTCCCACGCCTGAGGCGCCTGAGTTCGTCATCAGAGAGACGGACAGAAGGCGCCACTGGAGCCGTCGATTCGAATCTCCCTCGATTGCTTTCAATAACGCCAGCATCACGATGACAGAAATTGTCAAGGGGATCTTGGCGAAGTTTGCGATCTCCCGGTCTTGATCTACTGCAATTGCATCAGAGTCTCTCTCTCTCTCTCTCTCTCTCTCTCTCTCTCTCTCTCTCTCTCTCTCTCTCTCTCTCTCTCTCTCTC